GACTAAGCGGAGGTGAAGGGCAAGCTATGGCTTGAGGACCGAGGTACCATGGCTAAGGTGAAAAAGGGAGTACTTGCATTGAGTCGAAGAACTAATCAAGCTATGAGGAGTCATATTATGTTGAGGATCAAATCATTAGCTAGTGAAAGTGACTTGAAGCCATTGAGGTGAACTCATGTGTATGGAAATGGTTCAAGTCACATGCTCAAGGTGTGTTTGCTCGAAGAGGTGAGACAAAGTTGTTTGCAACCCCTCATGAAGCGATATTGAGAAGAAATGGCATATGAAGACATTGAAGACTCAGGTGGTTGAAATGATTATATTCTCTTGATCTTGAGTATACATATGTCGTACTATCAATGGGAATGTAATACGAATCTTAGACAAGTCTCAAGTGCTCAAACTAACCGAACCCAAATGCTAACATGAGAGAAAACACTTAGTACTGCACCTGCACTACTTGATCTTGGAGCTCGTTCTCTGCTGGGTTTGTTAGCCCTTTAAACAAGCTTTCCGGAAAGTCCAAGATCACTAAAAACGGAGTTCGGAGTAAAAAAATTATGGCATTTTTCATGAGGTGGCCTGTGCTGTTTCAGGGAGCTACGGCAGTGCCGCGAATTTTTGAGGCAGTGCCGCACCCCAGCAATGCCACGTGTTAAGCGCGGCAGTGCCGCACCTTATAGATCATAAAGGCTAGTTTTTGAACTGCAATGGCTAGTTTATTTGGGATGGGTATAAATACCCATCCCACACGCTCTTGGTAAGGCTGCTGATACTCCAAACATTCTAAACCTTTTCCAAGCCATTTGTGAGCTTTCTCTCTAACCCCTCTCTTTGTGAGAGTGAGTGATTAGCGATTGATTAAGTGTTAGAGAGCTGATTAGAGCAAATCAAACCTTGAGCATTTGTCGGGCTTCGTCAATCTTTGTTGCGCATTTGTTACTCTTGGAGGTGAAGCCTCCTACACGGCTAGGCGTCGCCCGGCAAGCTCCCGTGCTTGTGGTGAGCAGCGGGAAAGTTTGTAATCATCTCTTGCAGCTAGTGGAATCACCCATCATCTTAAGAGTTCACTCTCTTGACTTGAAAACGAGGATAAGGGTTGCAAAGCCCAAGCCTTAATGGCAGTCTCAACAACGTGGACATAGGTAAGCCTTGGTGACGAGCTGAACCATGGAATAAATCGCGTCTTCTCTCTTTATGTTTTGAATTGCATTATTTGTGTTCCCCTCGATCTACTTGGTTGTGAGTGTCTGTGAGTGCAGGTACTTAGTGAACTTGTCACTGGACATCTCTAGCACATCTCTACCAAGTTTGGTCTGTGTTGAATTCTTTGCAGGGGTGAGGCAGTGCCGCAGTCTGAGTGAGGCACTGCCACAGTGAGGGACTGCCGCACTCAAGTGAGGCAGTGACGCACCCAGAGTTTAACTTCTACTCGAGTTTGTTTTTAAACATGCCTATTCACCCGCTCTCTAGACGACATCAAGATCCTTTCAGCATTACTAGCAGTACATCCTTATGATCATGTTTTATTAGCTGTCATGATTACTTCATTAGCGCATCTGATCTACTTTCAAGCAAGGGTTGAGCAGTCAGAACTTTCACCGTCTTTTATCTTCCGGTTCTTACTACGGTGCTAGACCATAGCCAAGTCGTACTGTCTCACGAAAACGACGATTCGCGAACCAATGTATCACAGCTGGGTACCCCGAAACACACGCCCCACTTGTACCCCAGGCACAAGCAAGACCAACCCATTCCACTCCTGTCAAGGGGTCCAGGTCTCTGTCCAAACTTAGACTCCAAGCCACCACACTTGAGACCCGGTCTCAACATGGTGCTCAGACCTCCATATTTCTCCGCCTCTAATCAGTCGGTCCGGAAAGAGCCAGAACTTTCGACAAGAGCGTAACGAGTCTTCCCGCTCCCATAAATAAGTATGTGCTCAGGATAAAAAGTCTGTGACCTAATTATCATCCTTAGCAACGGACGGTCCTTAATCGACATGGATAGAAAAAATAGTGTAACCAAGCTAAGCCCCGTTGGCCACGGAACACACCTGTTACACCCCACCAATACCCGTACTATATCCCTGTCCGATCTCCAGTTTCCTTTTTATCATTTTATTATAAGAGTAATAATAATCACTTATTATGAGTAATGACAGGTTACTCACGCTACCGAAAAACCTAAGCATAACAGCTACTCGGCCTATTCTAGTTCTATGATAAATAACTAAATTGAGCCATCTTTAGATGACGTTTTTAAGGAATCACAATTTTTATGTTTTTCAGATAACTAAATGTTAAATGCATACACGTTTTAGTTAGAATTTGGACAGCGAAATCAGATCAGGGCCTTGTTTAGATTGTAATTTTTTGTAATTTGGACACTGTAGCACGTTTTATTTGTATTTGACAAATTTTGTCCGATCATGGACTAACTAGGCTCAAAAGATTCATCTCGTGATTTACAACCAAACTATGTAATTGGTTATTTTTTTTTCTACATTTAATACTTCATACATGCGTCAAAAAATTGATATGATAGAGAGAAAGTGAAAAAACTTAGAATTTTGATGCAACCTAAACAAGGCCCAGATCAATCGAAATCGTCAATTTGTGTACGGTGAAACGTCACTCATCGAGCCATCCCTCAAAACAGGAGGCAAATCCGACCCACCTGCAAGCGACCAGGGGCTCAAGGCCACCGCGTTTTTCTGGAACCATCCTTCCAGCAGCGCAAACCAACCGAGCAAGCAAGCTTTCCAAACAAGCAGAAGCAGAACCCCCCGCACCACAGGCGGAGCGTGCGAACTCGGAAGCGCGAAAACCCTCCCCGCCCAAGGAGGATCCCTCCCGCGGCGCGCGAAGCAGACCCCCAACCGGCCGCCCTCGCGAGCCGCGGCGGGGACAGCGGAAGCAGCATCACTCCGGAGCAGCAGCCCGAGCGGGGTTCTGTAGGAGTAGGAATCTCCGAATCTGCGGAGTTCGTGGCCGGATTTCGCGGCGCGGGGCCTTCTCGTTTCGGGCGAGACGATGGTGGGGTTCGCGGGGAAGAGGAAGGAGCTGGAGCAGGTGGTGGACGGCCTCTCCGACTTCTCCCTCTCCGGCCCCGCTGCCAAGAGCCGCAGATTGGTGAGTTGGTGAGCTGTTTGTGCCTTTTTTTAGGCTTCTATTAATTGATGAGGGCTCTTATTTGGTTTGCTGGCGCAATCTTTTGCCCTAATCTTTTGCTGCTACTGTGCCTGCGAGTTCATCTCTTTAATTAGTGATGATTGGTGGACGCCTAACTAGGGTGGTTGATTATAGAGATTTGGGAGCGGTTACATGTTAGCAAATACAGTAAAATTCCTTCCTTTTAAGGAAAAAAAAATGGAATATGTTGCTTCAACTATATCTTGCACTTGATGGTTATCTATACTTGCTGTCATGTCCGTGACCTGCCTGTATAAGTGGCTATTTGATTAAAGCGTCTTCATGCAATTCGGCAGAATAGATTCAATTGATGTTTTGTCAGATCTGTTTCCAGTTTCTATACCGTTTTCTTATTTCTTATTAACTAGAATGAGTTTACTCAGCAGTATCTGCTCTGTCAGTAACTTCCTACTGAATAAGTTAATGAAAATGCCTTTCTGCAAAGAGCCTATGCAATCAGGAAATCAGTAGTCCTTTCCTAGGTCAGCCTAGGATGCCTGTTCTGTTTACATGCAGATATTGCCAGATTATGTTGTTGTTGCTTTTGTTGGAGTTTTTCTTTGGTGTAGAAATGTAGCGAGGTTACGTTTCTATGCATTTGTTGTGACAGTCTTGTTCTGATGTTATCTAGCAAAGTAGCTCCCTGCTTTCTGTTTGATCACTTCAAGTGAAGAAGGAAAAACCATACATGTTGCAATTTTCCACTGTGTATAGATAAGCAAGGTTTATCATGCATGTTCACTGCATGTCTTGTTGTGCATATAGTTAAGCATTCTGTCATTTTGGTGTTTTCCATTTGTTGGAAGTCTTTATTCAGAATACTTATTGCATCTGTAATGCCTCTCTGAATAAAGTGTTGCTTATTATTTATAGGACCCTGGGCTCCCACCAATTATGGAAGAAGAACCACCTGCTCCTTCCATGTCGTTCCAGATGCTGGGAGAGAAAATCGATAGCGGTGTTGACATACCCAGTGTGGAAGTCATGATGGAAGGTCTAACACATCATGTGCCTAGTGAGGACATGGCACTTGTTTTATACAAACCAGTAAATAACCCACCATTTGGTCCTGGCATCTCAAGCTCTTCATTCATAGTGAGTTCAGACTTGATACGTGGTCTAAAGAGTAAGTACATCGTGACCAACCTTCTTTAGTCGTCATTTATATTTAAATTCACTATTCCTATGAACCTTTGCTATTTTGATCCTGCATTTCGTTAGATTTTCTAAGTGTCAAATGTATATCCAGAACTTGTATGAGTACATGTATTGTCATTACCTAAGTATTTGGGTGTTCCTTGTGCAAATATAAACTAACCTATTTAGATTTTTTGTTAACTTCTATATCAATGACATGTCCAAACCTATCTCCTGATACTTTAAGCAAGTTGTATGCAGAACTGCAAAGAGTCTACTATTTAGTTGTGTCGTGCAGCTAGTTGGTGAATATAACAGGAAGCATAAATGCCTGTTGGCCTAGGGGCATGAGATGATATGTTTTAGCCATGACATCACCTGCTTACATTGTGATTTGCGTGGGTGAACACTTGGTGTGTCCTTTGTCTAGTGCTGTAGTTGTGCTGCATTCTTTGATGTGCAGAATATGACCCATGTCATGATTTTTAGCGTGATTTACTTGCCAACGATTATCTTCCTCCTTTTATTTTCTTTGGTTCTGCTGTCTTCTTGTAGAGCTTTTTCATTGGCTTCTACTTTGCGCCACCGTCACATGCAGCATATTTTTCCAATTATACATGTTCTGAATTATAACAACTCACGAGTTTCTTTGCTGTTTTCACTTTTCAGACCATGCTTTCAATCAAGCGAACTATCATGAGATGGAGGGTGAATCTCCTGAGCGTAGGAACAGCTTGGCTTTAGTTCCTTGGATACCACCACAAGTGTCTATTAGATCTGACTGGGTTGCTGCTGAGCCAGAGAGCACACAGATTTTTGAAGTACCTATGGAGGCTGATGAGACTGAAGTAACTTCTATGGATGTCGAGGAAACACCCGAAGCAGTTTCCGGCGGATTCAATGGTGAGAACCTTGGCCAGTGGCAACATTGTATGACCCCATCGTCGTTACCAAATCCAGCAGCCCATGTTATGTGGTCAAGGTAACAAATGGGAGGCCCTGTGTACCGACTACTGAGTCACACCAAGGATGAAGAAATCCTCTAATAGGCCTCCCCTAGCTGTGTAGAAGTAGCTGGCTGCTTTAGTTGAAAACAAAAAACTGATTATGCTTAGCATGATACCTCCTGGTGTAGTGCTGATCTTCCCCAGTAATATCTGTGTCAGTAGACTCTCATGTTACAAGAGAACCTGGTTAGATTGACATCCAATTAGTTGATGTAACTTGTTGGATTTATAACATCTTAACGCCCTAGTTTCAAACTCCTTTGCATTATTATTGTATTATTACCATGGCTGGTTTATTGATAACATAACCGATTAATTGCCACGAGTTTTATCACATATTTATATAAAAATTAACAATATATGCTTCTTTTTAATAACAGAATTTAATGCTCATATAAAAATATAAAATGTATGCATCTCTTAAAACCGAGAATTGTTTTAAATCCAAACAGCGGGAATCACCTGCTCTGTTTTCATTTAAAAATAAGTTTACAGAAGGTTGCACAAAAATGAAAATAAGTTTAGAAAAGGTTGCGCAAAAAGAATTACCGGAGAAGAGAAACTGAAAAAACAGCAGGGACAAGAGCAAGACTGAAGTGGCCATGTGCCATTGATTCATATCATCACCTCCCTGATGCCTTTGCCATATGAGCAGGCAGTAAATTCTTGCTACCATCTGCATTAAGCTCAATGATTGGTCCGAATGATATACGCAAAGCGGTCGACAAAAATTGTAAGAACAAAGGGAAAAAAAGCAGTTCATTATTCTCATCCTGATATCTCAATTCTCCTGGTCTTACATATTCTTTTTTCACAATTTAGGGAAAAGTCAGATTTTATCTCCAAAGTTTATAAGTATGACGTGACATTTACTTAAGCAGAATAATAAGGGCCTGTTGGTTTGGAGACTTAAATGCTAATATTATTTTTTATAAATTTGGTCAAATTTAAACTAGTTTGATCGACGCTTTCCATAATTACGTTCTTTTCTGGAAAGAGGGAGTACAGTTTTGATCAGCTGGAAATGTTTTGGTTGGATTTCCCCGACCGAACGAGCCCTAAGGATACTTTTGCGATGACCTCGATGAATATGATTTGAGAACATACATATCTAATTATCTTCACTAAAAAAACATATCTAATTATCCATATAATATTCCTAGTGTATTCTGGATAAGATGACGCCAAACTCCCATAGAGTCATAGGCCCTAGCTGACAATCTCACGCCGTCCACGATCGTAAACCCGTAGAGAAACATGTCCGTCGGGTGGGCATGATTAAAAAATCTGTCAGTCACTCAGTCTCGGATCAGGCTCAAAACGAGAAAAAAAAACGAGTCACGTTTATCAAGCCTCATCCGAAGCAAGGATTGTTGCTTGAGACTCAAACTCCAGGAGCTCACCTCAGTCACGGCAACGCAAATTGAAACTGAAACAGAGTTGGGCTGGAGGATAATGCGGCGAAGCAAGGATTGTTGCTTGAGACTCCCAAAATCCAGGAGCTCACCTCAGTCACGGCAACGCAAATTGAAATTGAGACAGAGTTGGGCTGGAGGATAATGTGGCGAATGGGCGCAACGCACGGCGCATTGAAGCCGGCGCCGGGATCGGATATGACCGACCAAACCGCCCTGCGCCTACTTACCCGACCCCCGACGGCAACGTGATAAATAACAGATGGGAAGAGGAGCAGAGACAGTCCACTCCCAAGTCGAGCAAGAGTCGTAGCCGAGCGGAGTGATCGCTCGCACTCGACTCGGTCGCCGACTAAAATCGCGGAGGCCGGACGGAACCCGGAGAATGAGGGTTCGTGACGGGGACGGCGGCGGCGAGGTGACCGCGCCGCCGCAGCACCTCGTGTTCGCCTACTACATCACCGGCCACGGCTTCGGGCACGCCACCCGCGCCCTCGAGGTCCGCCGCCCCTCCCTCCCGACTCCTCCGCCCTGGTGCCCGCGCGCGATCCCGTCCCTTCTCCTGACCCCGCGTCCCTCCTCTGTCCGCTCCTCCTGCAGGTGGTGAGGCACCTGGTCGCCGCGGGGCACGACGTGCACGTGGTCACCGCCGCGCCCGAGTTCGTCTTCACCACCGAGATCGCCTCCCCTAGCCTCCACATCCGCAAGGTGCTGCTCGACTGCGGCGCCGTCCAGGCCGACGCCCTCACCGTCGACCGCCTCGCCTCGCTCGAGAAGGTTTTTTTTTGTTTGTTTGTTTTGTTTTGTTTTTGGCTCTGCTTTCCCATTTGCACGCACTTCTGGGGTTCGGCCCGAAATGACCGAATTTCAACACCATACTGGTCAAAAAATTCAGTCAAATTCAAATTTTTGTTAAGTCTATAGTTTAAACATGCCTACAAGTTCTTATTTCAATATAAAAGTGCAAACCTTTCAAGCTATAATTCAATCATTTCATATTCATGCCTATTGATCAAATTTTGGCCAAAATTTGGTCAAACATTATTAGTTGAATCTGAACATTTTGACTGGTCAGAACAAGTGAATCACAGTCGAAAATTTCCGAGATTCACACATTCGGTTAGGACCGAAATTTTTGGTGATTTGAATCACAAAACCTTGCGCACAACTCGATCGTTTCCATTTTTATTATTCCACTGCCCTCTCCCAGTTCTAAATAGAGTGCGCGGAGTGCAGTATCACCAGACGGCCGTAGTGCCCGGGAGTCCATCCTCAAGACCGAGGCGGAGTGGCTCAACTCTATCAAGGCCGACCTAGTGGTACCAATACTTTACGGGCTTCTGTTACTCATCTAGTCATCTATCTGAGCATTTGTGTATAACTGGATTAGGACTCAACTGAACTCACTTAGCAAATGCTGGCAGGTTTCAGATGTTGTACCCGTCGCGTGTAGGGCGGCTGCACATGCTGGCATTCGATCCGTTTGCGTCACAAATTTCAGGTTAGCAGTGGCCCTATTGCTTATTTGGTTTAATTTAATTAAGCTCCTGACATATCTTAATTGCCTGCAGCTGGGACTTTATTTATGCAGAGTATGTGGTAGCAGCTGGGCATCATCATCGCTCAATTGTGTGGCAGGTAACTCACTAAGTTTTTAACTTTTCCTAATCAAGTTTGTGACACTTACATAAGATGGGTGGGCTAGTGGAAAGAATTGCAAATAGTTATCGTTTAGCATATAGTTTGTTCGATAATATTATGTTATTTGTGTTTATTTGCAATCTGATAATTATGCCGTCTGTTAATTAGCTATGTCTGCATCTTAACAACATTTGTAGATAGCAGAGGATTACTCGCATTGTGAATTCTTGCTCCGACTGCCTGGATACTGCCCTAGTATGTCACTAAGCCTCAATAATTGTTTCTAATAGTCTAAACGTGTAATTCTAAGAACAAGTTGTCAATACTATTTTTACAGTGCCTGCTTTCTGTGATGTTATTGACGTTCCTTTGGTGGTCAGAAGATTGCACAGATCTAGATATGAGGTTTGTATATTCTGTTTCAGAGTCATATCTTATAAATTTAACTCACTCCTTGCTTTTTAAGTTCCATAATTTTTATGTTTCAGGTGAGAAAAGAATTAGGAATTGCAGATGATGTTAAGTTGGTAATTTTCAACTTTGGAGGACAGGTGAGAGAAAATTATCATCCTTATAAGTATGTGCCTTGCTTTATTCTAATATCTTATTGATGTCTGTCACAACACATCTGTATTCAATTGATTTGCCTATTTTCAGACTAGTATAGTTTGATCTAAATCTACTAGTAATCACATGGTATATCGCTGCTCTATGATTAGATTTTGCATGTGTTGTTGATACATCAGTTTATATTATACATGCCACAATAGTTGAACTTTCTATCATTATTAAATTGATGTTGGTTTAGGCCAACAAAATGAGAGAGTGAAGGAGGAATAAGTGAGAGAGCCAAATGAGTCATCGGCCAAAAAAAAAAGTCCCTCTACCTCTTTTATATAGGAGGTGGGAGAAGAGGTTCTTTTTATGCCCCATAGTAGGGTTTGTATTCACAAAAATGCCACTAAAGGCTACAAATGGACCCCTGATGGGGTTTGTATTTACAAAAATCCCACTAAAGGCTATAAATGGACCCCTAGTGGGGTTTGTATTTACAAAAATGCCATTAAAGGCTATAAATGGATCTCAAATATTATTTTGTGAGCCCTGTCTATGTAATCGGGCCCTGAACATGATAGTGGGGGTTCCTAACATATAATACACCCCGAACATTTGGGATTGAGAGTTCCCTTCTTTGTTTTGATAGAAGGTAGACTTTCCATGAAAAAAACTGGTCTTCATTTTGTTTAAATTATTTAAAATTTTATTTTGTTTTCTGTCGGTATGTAATTGTTCTAACTAGGACAATTGTACACATTAATAACATTATCTTTTTGCTATTTTCTTGTCCAGCCTGCGGGATGGGAACTGAAGAAAGAGTGGTTGCCTGACGGTTGGCTATGTTTGGTATGTTTATCTGATAGCAACATTTTCCCTGCCCGATTAATGCCTGACCAACCCAGCTGGCTAACATTTTATATTTTCTGAAAGGTATGTGGTGCATCTGATACTCAAGAGCTTCCTCCAAATTTCATTAAGCTTGCAAAGGATGCCTACACACCTGATTTGATGGCAGCATCTGACTGCATGCTTGGTAATGACAACTTTAAATTATTTGGTGTTCAGGGTTATTTAATGTCTTTTTTTTGTCTTGCTTGTCACTTACAAAAAAATCCTGTTCCAATGTAGGAAAAATTGGATATGGCACTGTGAGTGAGGCTTTGGCTTACAAGCTGCCATTTGTATTTGTTCGAAGAGATTATTTCAATGAAGAACCATTTTTGCGGAATATGCTTGAGGTTGAAACATTTTGGCCCTCACCTTATGTTAAAACTAATTTAAAATTGTGTGTTGTCATTAAGTACCTTGCCTGAGATTCTGTTCTGTGTTCTCTTCTGTTCCATCACAAAAAAGCATTATCAATGTGGCATTGAGATGATACGGAGGGATTTACTTACTGGGCATTGGAAACCTTATCTTCAACGTGCTATCACACTTCAACCCTGCTATGATGGTCCCATAAATGGTGGCGAGGTAATTCCTACTTATGCTCAGGCATAATCTTTTAATATTATTCAGCAACTCATCAATCATGTTTTGCTTCTGTCTCCACAGAATAAATTGAAGTTATCCCTTATTGTTAAGGGCCAAATATTTAGAAGCATTCAATTGCATGCAAATTAGTTCTTGCAAAGAAAACAACTTAATATCAACCTCCTATTTTCCTTGAACCAAATAGATAGAATGTGTATGTGATTCATTAGTTGTTTAGATTGCATTGCAATACAATAGACTTTTGTAGACAAGCTAATGCTGCTGTCATCAGGTGGCTGCACATATCCTCCAAGATACTGCTGTTGGGAAGAAGTATATTTCTGGAAAGGTGAGTTACTGTACAAACTATATTTAAAGTTTGAGTCAAATTTTACCCTTTATGTTGGACCTCAAATTTCCGACCAAGCATGCCTTCTGAATTCTGTTGTCAATAGTACATGACTACAGTTTTATTTTATGTTAAATAATCATTCTTTTGTTTGCTAATACTCCCTGTTGTTTCACAATCCTACTGGCCATGTTTTCCATGTGATTAGCTATTTTTTGTTAAAAAACTCATATAATTTATATGTGCTTGTGACTTCAGAATGTTCAATGAATGTCTCTGTTTTATGTTCAATCATCTTGCTTTATTTAACAACTGTAGTTGAGCGGAGCAAGACGGTTGCGTGATGCCATTGTGCTTGGCTATCAACTACAAAGGGCTCCTGGGAGAGATGTAGGAATTCCTGACTGGTATTCTCTCTCTGAGAAAGAAATCAGTGTCCGCCCAATGCCCACATCTCATGATATGAATGGAAGTCCAGAGTCGTAAGTTTCTATACCACTTTTGTTCCCCTTTATGCTATCTACGGTCTCTCCAAGAGTAGTCTGCTGCATTCTGATACAAATTTGTTCACCTTTTTCATTTTTTTCCAGATCGTTCGAGGACTTCGAGATACTCCATGGTGACATGCAAGGCTTAACTGATACCATGTCCTTTTTGAAGAGTTTATCAGGGCTTGTTGGAAATGACTTAAGAAGCCCCGAGAAGCAAACTCGAGAGAGGGCTGCTGCTTCTGTGCTCTTTGACTGGGAGGTACTCAGTTCTCTTTATAATTCTGGAGTGTGAATTCTGATAGTCTGTGCTAAGTTCCCGTTCTTCTCTATGTTAGACTGGGAGAATGCACCGAATCTGATGGAACACCCTTCATTTTGTTTGATAAATTCTGTTAATATGTTGCAGAGAAATATTGTTGAGCAAAATTCCTATGCAATATTAAATTAAGAACAAGATTCATATGCAATATTTAATCAACTGGTTTTATCCTGTTATAGGAGGAAATATATGTTGCAAGAGCTCCTGGGCGATTAGACGTTATGGGTGGTATTGCAGATTACTCTGGAAGTCTTGTACTGCAGGTAAGTTTGACTGCAAAAACAAGCGCCATTTGTTTCATAGATTATCATTATTAGTAATAAATATTAGACACATGTAAAACATGTTTTATACGCCTTCCTTTTTTGTAACATTTTCAAAGCATACTCTTTTCTTATGAGCTCCATGGGCCCGAATCCACAAGTGAACCATTTTTATTACTTCTTATCAACTAGACTCTTTGGGGATGCCACCTGTGTATCCTTAAACCGCTGACCATCCGTTTTAATTTTAATTACAAACGTGCCAAAAACAATGCCTTTTTTCAATATTTGTTAAACTTTCCTTTTGCATCGCCCTAACCTTTTGTGCATCCACTTTATGCCATTAGGGTCCCTTTTGTAATTTTTCTCTCCACAAGGTTTGTCACAGCTCCATTTTAACATGCTTGATTTGTATGCCATTAATGCTGTATTGTCACTTATTTATTTACAGATAATAGATGGATGAATAATTTACTATGACTTTTATTTCCCTGAAGGCTGAGGCAATTCCCGATCTTCCAGCACTGTTTGAAGGATTAGTTTAATCTCAAACTTTTCTTCTATAAAAACGAATTGGTCATTGCTACAGGGACCGATTATCTCATAAATCATAGTTACCTAGGAGCTAGGACTACCTTCCCTAGTAAATTAGCACCTTTGTGGAATTGATCTAGTAGCCTTCCGATGTGATATGGTTCTTTTTTGACATGTGTGATTATTAACATATAGATGCCCATCCGAGAGGCGTGCCATGTTGCTGTTCAGAGAAGCGACCCTACCAAACAGAAGCAATGGAAGCATACACAGGCTAGACAACTAGCAAATGGAGGAGCAGTACCAGTGTTACAAATTGTACGTTACAATCCTCAATCTTTCTGTCCCCTTATCTTTTTTTAAACAGAGTCTTCTACTAAAATATTTTCACTTTTGACTTCTTCCATAATTCTGTGGAGATAAGACCCCCGCATGTTTACTAGAGTATCTAATACACTTGTTTGTGCAACTGGGTGTTCTTACTAAATATGTTTGCGCAGGTATCCTTTGGTTCTGAATTAAGTAATCGTGCACCTACATTCGACATGGACCTTTCTGATTTTATGGATGGTGAGAAACCAATGTCTTATGATAAAGCCAAAGAATACTTTTCTCGGGACCCATCACAAAAGTAAGATGTTTTTATTGTCGTCTATTATCAATCCTTTCATGTGTATTGATGTTTAATAAAACTTTTCCATCTCAGATGGGCTGCCTATGTTGCTGGAACTATTTTTGTATTGATGACTGAGCTAGGAGTGCGCTTTACAGACAGCATGAGCATTTTGGTATGAGTAATCGCAATTCATAGTGTGCAAAATTGCATCCATTTACCACCTTTTTTATATTGCGATATATCACTAATGCTTGTATTAGCAAGTCTGTCCAGGAATTTTTGTTGATTAGTCATCAAACATCTTGCCATTCACATTTAAGGACATCACATGTGCTAGCAAGAATTAGTCTGTAAAGAAAACTATCTGTCCATTAATCATCAAACATATTGGCATTCACATTCTTTTTCATATTGGGATATATCACATCTGCCTGTAAGAGTTAGTCGGTATTAGAAATTTATGTTGATTAGCCATCAAACATCATGCCATTCACATTGTTTTTCATATAATGCCCATATTAATCAGTCATGTTTTCACATGTCGGACACACATGTAACCGGAACATCTGTATCAGTTATCTATGGTATTTTTGTTTGAATCTTCAGGTTTCTTCATCTGTCCCTGAAGGCAAAGGTGTCTCCTCTTCTGCATCAGTGGAGGTAGCTTCTATGTCTGCTATCGCTGCTGCCTATGGTTAGTATATCGAGAGGAGACATACAGCAATGTTTATTACATTAAAGGAAGGGACAATTGCATAAGTGCCTTGACCTATAACTTCACGTTTCCCCCCTTTTCCAACTTTGCCCCATTGCCCCTGCTTTGACCCATTCAATCCACCGTTGACCCTGGTTTTGCCTACTTTGGTGGCACTGATAAAATCAGGGGCAAACATGCTGTTAGAGGTCAAAGCGAGAGCAGATTGCAAATGGCCCTAAAGAAAATAGCTATAGCAGCTAATTTTGTTAATATATGTTGACATTTTGAATCTCTTCAGGAATTATTCACCTCCTGATATTTTACCTTGCATTTATACATGCAAAATGGCATCAGTTCACATGTTATTCTTGCGTCTAGGTTTAAACATTGCTCCAAGGGATCTTGCTTTACTCTGTCAAAAGGTACAGTACACTGTCAAACTGTGTTAGGTTCATCGCTTCATTTATTCTCAATTGAGTGTGTGTTGTCTGTTGGTGAACAATTATGCAGGTTGAGAATCGTGTTGTCGGAGCTCCTTGTGGAGTAATGGACCAAATGACATCTGCTTGTGGAGAAGCTAACAAACTCCTAGCAATGGTTTGCCAGGTTAGTAAGTGTTTATCTTCTCAACTAGCTTCTAGATCCAATCATTCCCCCAGTTTATCTCTATGCTGCCTTTCTATTTAATCGGTCAAAATCTCACTGCAGCCTGCAGAAGTGAAGGAGCTGGTTAGCATTCCAACTCATATACGATTTTGGGGTCTTGACTCTGGGATACGTCATAGGTGGATAAATCTCTGATTGAGCTTTGTGTTTGGGATAATCTTTTTAATATATTCTTGAATCTTGAATGCGTTTGTTGGAGCTAATTTTACTGTCCTTTGAGTTATGCAGTGTTGGTGGGACTGATTATGGGTCTGTAAGAGTAGGCACTTACATGGGTCGCAAGATGATCAAGTGTGCTGCATCTGACCTACTTTCAGAATTGTTACCCTCATGTACGTCTATGCAATCAGGCTACTCAAATCCTGATGAATATGAAGAACATGGTGTAGACCTTCTGAAATCTGAAGCATCAATGGAGTATTTATGCAACTTACCACCACATAGGTCTCACTCACCTTATTAAAATTGACAGAACACTAGCATGTTTCATGTTCTGCAGTTTCTTATGGCTATATTTCTACTTCAGATATGAAGCTGTTTACGCAAAAGACATTCCAGAGACGATAACTGGTGATGTTTTTCTGGAGAAGTATGGAGATCATAATGATGCGGTAACAGAAGTTGACCAAAAACGATCTTACTGTGTCAAGGCTCCTACTAGACATCCCATATATGAGAATTCCCGAGTTGAGGTTTGACATCTTGAAACCATGATGCCTGTTTCTCCATTCATAAATTGGTTTTCTTGTCTCTGTAGTGTTTTCAGTTTGCTAAAACTTAAAATCTACAGTATTTTTTTTTGGGTGGGTGGGGGGTGGGGTGGCACAGTTTGGATAGAGAGGCGTTTTTGTCTTCTCTCACTTCGATAAGCCTTGATGGTCATAACATGATCAACTAAGCTCGTTTTTTTTTCCTTAAAATTTAAAATGAGCCTGTCTGATAAGATAATTCTATCTCTGGCATGTTTTATGCTTCTGGTGTGTAGGCCTTCAAAGCATTGTTGACAGCATCCAAAACAGACGAGCAACTTTCAGCCCTTGGAGAGCTTATGTTCCAGGTAAATTTGTGGTTAGCGGTAAAAAAGTTCATTATATCCATAGAGAGTACAGACTGGCTTATGTTATATCCATATGAAGTAAATGGAAAAAATATGTTTTCTTTCTAAAGGACAGCAAAAGCTTTGCCTCAAATTTTTTCTGTAGAACGAGAACAGAAACAAGAAATATTTTGTTGTATCATATTGCTGACATTTTGGTTGTTTATTTGACGGCAGTGCCACTACAGCTACAACGCTTGTGGGCTTGGTTCTGACGGTACAGACAGGCTAGTGAATCTAGTACAAGAAATCCGGCACAGGAAGACCTCGCGAACTGGAGGCCCCAGTCTATTCGGCGCCAAGATCACTGGCGGAGGGTCCGGTGGCTCAGTTTGTGTGATTGGGAAGAACTGCCTGAAAAGCAGTGAAGAGATACTTGAGGTGCGCTTCGAGATGCTTCACTTACCACCAATCATACACATCCAAAGGCTTCAATCTTATCACCAGAATCACAATGGTTGTGTATGTGTACTCATGGTGTGCTAATGTATGAACTTGTTGGGCCTTTTCAGATCCAGAAGAGATACAAAGCGGCTACTGGGTATCTTCCGATTGTCTTTGAGGGCTCGTCTCCAGGCGCCGGCAAGTTTGGGTACCTGAAGATTCGACGTCGATCCACGTCGCCATCTAACTGAACTGGAGGAAGAGCTCGGCCGTAGAATAGGTTGTGCAATTAAGCATTTGTCGAGACGAACACGAATAGCGAACAGCACACGGTCATATTGATCGTATACCACGCACTACGCACAGCATGTCAATAATAGAACAATGACGTATAGCACTGCCAATAATAGAACAATGACATACTATATGGCACTGCTGATCTGCAACTGCATAATATGGCCAACCGTGATCCTGTAATTCTGCAGCATCGTTGTGAACTTACGACGACTACAGTGGAATTCAGCGAGGTGCTTCAATTCTTGGTAGCCGCTGGTAACTGGAATCTACAGACAACAAGAGGGTTTCCTGGCAGGTAACCTCTGGAAGTTGTTCAATAATGCATCGCTCTGCTCTACTGCTCGTCGGGCAGAACTGCAGAAGATAAGACGTGACCCTTTGGTGGCCACGGATTGGCATGGCATCGGCATGCTGCAACACAGCACAGCCCGCTGCCGAGCCGTTGCGATGGACGAGCAGTAGCCATCCACCGACTTGAGCTGTTAGATGCAGAGCATCAGACAACCGTCAGCGGCCGTGCAGTGCCCCTGGGGCTGGGGGCTGTGTGTGATCTGCTCGTAGCGGATGAACGCGGTGCAATCATGCAAGCAAACAGGCGTTGCAGGAGGAGCTGTCTACCGGTAACAGCAGCGACGGGGTCCGGTCCTAGATGACAGACAAGTCGGCAGGCCGGGAAGGAAAGATCTGAAGATGTGCAGGGAGACGCATCGGGCACCCATGTCCTTTCACGGCTGCAGGCACCTAGCAGCTGTATGGTTCGATGAGGCCGACGGGTAGACCGTGGATAAGAAGGCCAGTGTGTGATCTGGACTCTTTTTTTTCTTTGCTCATCAATAGTTCATCACTTGATTATTAGGAAGCAGTTACAGGCTGTTGCAATTGCAACCTGATCTAGTATACTACTACCGCTTTCTAATCTAAAATAAAAAATGCAATTATATTTCTAGGTTAAGACCAGTCAAACTTTCTTAAGTTCGATCATGTTTACAGAAAATAATATCAAATATTTATGTCTACAAATAAATTTACTATAAAAATATATATTCTGTAATAATCAAATGGTATTTACTTGGCATAATAAATGTCAGTACTTTATTGTGCAAATTTAGTTAAATTTAAAATTATTTTATTTCTCGGAAGCGAGAATTGCATTTCTTTCTTTCTGGGACGGGGGAATAGTTGCTGTCACGCACAAAAGAAGGGCCAACGGTTGATTGCCCGAAGCATGGGAAGATTATCTTCAAGCTGTCTTCATGCTGTGGCATTACATTATCTTCCCTGTCTCCGTTTTCTTTAAAAAGAAAAATGGAAAAGTACAACTTTTCTGACTGAGTTGCTCTTTCAGAAAGCAGATACAATCTTTCAGCACCCCCACCAGCGAAAAGGGGAAGGAAGGCAATAGCTTGAGCAACGCGAGGCTCGAATTGACCAAAACTGTTAGGCTCAACCATCAAAGAGGAGGCCCAGCGTGACCCCACTGCTACGCTCTCACAATACTGTTGATTGGTGATTGGCTGGGCCAGGTCTTAACCGGACCTGGGCCAGACCCCCCAATGTAGTGTCCATCTCAAGAAACCAACCAAACCAATGGAAGCCAGGCTCTGAAACTGAAGAAGGTGGCTAGAAGCATCATAAAGCTGAGGACAGATCACTCACATGGTTTTCACGTTATAGATAGATAGAAGCTACCAAAGAGAGAGACCACATTAGGTAGCAGCAGTGCCATCCAGCTTCTGTACCCTGCTAATAACCATATGCATGCACTTGGACATGCATGGAGTAGCCATGGAAATGGAATTCTGGAATATATGATCCGATCCACTGTTATTATTGGTTTTTCTTTCTCCAACATATATCGATCTGCTGGTTCTTTTATTCATGTGGACTAGCTAGCTGTTCTCTTGGCCATTTATACTACTAGTATATATATTACGTTTTGTTTTTATCTTAAAATAAAATCCTGTAAATTTCCTATTTTCCTAGCTAGTTGTTGGTGACACACTACTGGTGCCATCCAATGAGGATAAATGCGCAAGGTCAATCCTGTTATAGATGTGGAGAAAAGAAGCTTAGATCATATCCTGGTGAAGTGAAGGAGAATAAAGCCATTTGAGGCTAGTGCAGGTGCAGTTGCAATGGCAAGCATGAGATGACACCATTCAGGCTAAAGAGATATCTGCTTTACTGCTAGCTGTTACAGCCTCACCTTCTTCCTCACGAACAATCAGTACGTAGCAGAAACAAGAAGCGAGCTTGTTATGTTGCGTGGTTACTAGATAGCCCTGTCAGCCAATTTGACAGGATAAGATCCTGCTGGTGTGGTCATCTGCAACGTTTTACAGCGAACGAGTGCAGTGCAGCGACGAATCATCCAGCTGAGCCAGCTCCTGTGCATGCAAGCATGCATGTGTAGTATCAGCAGTGGATTTGCAAGCATGCATGTGTCGGCACGGGCGCATTCAGAGGCTCACACACAGCCTGATGAGAACGAATACACTACTCCTACCTGATGACATGACAGGAATTCTTGTGTGGGAGGGGTAGAAGCCAAAGCATGCTGTCACTTGCATGCAAGCTGTGTGTGATGCCCAGCACCACCAGCAGTCAGAAGTCTACTCGTGAGCATGGACACGGTTTAGCTACTGTAGCAATTAGTTTTGTAATTAGTATTTAGTAATTAGTATCTAATTATGGACTAATTAGGTTCGAAAGTTTTGTCTCGCGATTTCTCACCTAACTATGCAATTAGTTTTTTTTTTCGCTACATTTAGTACTCTATGCATGTGCCGTAAGATTCGATGTAACACTTTGGGTGAAATTTTTTGGAATCTAAACTGGACCTAAGCTGTGGCAGGAAGGGGCAGCTAGCTACCTGTGACTTGGCTGCAGTGGTCGTCTACTAGGCCTTATTTAGATTGGGGTTAGGAATCAGTATTTAGTATTGTAGCATTTTCGTTTGTATTTAACAATTATTGTCCAATCATGGCCTAACTAGGCTCAAAAGATTTGTCTCGTTATTTACAATCAAACTGTGTAATTAATTATTTTTTTATCTATATTTAATACTCTATATATATGTCAAAGATTTGATGTGATAAAAAGAGAGTGAAAAAACTTACGATCTAAACCAGGCCCTACTATCGATCTATCACCAGCTGCTGGATGGATCCGGGGGAGATATCTGTGACTTGACTGCAGTGGCGACTGACTGGTTATCTTTCGTCTACTGGATGGATCCGGGGGAGATATCTGTGACTTGACTGCAGTGGTGACTGACTGGTTATCTTTCGTCTACTACTATCGATCTATCACCAGCTGCTGGATGGATCCGGGGGAGATAGAGAGATAAGGGTGCGGCGCGGGGCCATCCTTGTTTACGCACTGTGTATATTACTGCCGGCTCAATGATCGTGTCGGCAGGTTGTATATATCCAAGCTCCTTCTTCTGTGTACTACGTAATAGGAGCTTCTAGCTACCGGGACGTATCAAGATTACTCCTCCTACCTCTATCCCCAAAGGATACAATTTTAGAACTTATCAAAATCAGACTATTTTGAGTTTTGAATAAGTTTATAGAAAAAAATAGTACCAGTATATATGACTTCAAATATAGGTATACGACAAATATGATGATACTTGTGTGTTTAGTAAATACTGATATCTTTTTATATATATATAAACTAGAAAATATGTTCGTGCGTTGCAATGAGCCGTTTAATTTATTGTGTGCTTAAATTGTGGTTCAGAGATTTCTTTAGTGACCACGTTATATGTTTTAACTCGTCTAGAAATCGAACTCTGTGTGTGCCTATACTCGTGCTGCTCCAACTCATAAGAGCAGGAGAGATTTAGAGATTTTATCATTGATCATGTTATGCGTTCAAATTCGTTTCAGGATTGGATTGCACACCATGCCTGGACATTTAACTTGTATGGGCATTAGAGGGTGTGGCAGACCATGGAAACATTTGTATTCTAATTATTTTTTTGGATTTGGACTCCACGCTAGACTTGGACATAGCTATTCTAACTCATATGAGAACAGGGAAGATTAGATCTATTGAATCCCTGTCAGACGATTATGAGTGATAAAAGACAAACAATCCTTAGCCTCTTTAATATTAGATATAGATATAGATTTAGGGCCTTTTGATTCCTATTACAATTTTATAATCTGGCTGATCCAAAGAGTGAGGCTTCTAGGAGATTCTACTATGTACTTCAGCAATATAACAGTCTGTTCGCTTGTTGGTTTCAGTCAGCCCAAACCAGCCAGCCAACATTGTTTTCCTCTCACAAAAAACCAGCACCAGCCAGCCCAAACCAGCATCAGCACCAACCAGCGAACAGGCCCTAAAGCAATAATCATGTATCCCTTCGGCGAGCTTCTCAAGGATTCTAAGGTAGGAAAGACAATTTTGCCCTTACTTTAATCTTATCTACAGAACCATCTGAAGAGTATTTTAGACATTTATCTTGTACAATGCACCCACTATCGATCCATAGTATAATCTGAGAATTCAAACATATTAGATTATTTATATCTAAAATTCAGATTCTCAAAATCACTATCCACTATCTAAATTCTTATAATGTCTCTTGGATCCAAACGGATCATTAGTTAAATTTCAGATTGTTTGACCTAGCACTCTAACATTATATCATTCCTAGGAAATAGTGCCACACCTACCAAAAGGAAGTTACAGTACAAACCGTATCATACTAGCCGTAGAGGTGTGACAAGTGCCCCGACAAGAAAAAGGTCATGTATGCTGCGAAAAGTAAAGTGTACTTAGAATTGAAGGGTACGGTGAAAAACAATCATTGTACTTAGAATCAAAGAGTGTAGTGTAGCACCAAAGAAGGACAATTTCGGGTGGGTGATAACTAAGAGTAGCACCAAAGAATGAAAGAAGGAAGATGTGTACAAAGAAGGAAAGGGTAAAGGGAGAG